AAAAAAAATAGAAGCAGAATGAGCTAAAAAAAAAAAAAACAGAAGCACAATGATCATGACAGGAGTAGAATCAATTGTAAACAATTTCATATGTAATTATATACTGAATAAAAAAAGCAGAACAGAGACATATTTCACATGTACTAAAATAATTAAACATGGTATAAGCATAAACCACTTTTTGGTACCATTTGTATATATATAAGAAAAGGGAAAAGTATAACCAAGACATATAAGAGACACTTCTTTGTAGAATAATCTATTATTTACCCTCATTCCTAATACTCCTACTTCTTTTTTTTATCATAATTGTCATTCAGTCGCCGGACTCTCACATCCCACAAATATTATAAATAAATTCAGCAACACAAGAAAAAAAAGGAATGTGTTTTGTTCGAAACATTGTTTATTAGGAAAAAAAAAAAATAGACCAGCAATAGTCTTAAAAAAAAGTCATTAGTGATTAAAAAATAAAAGAGACTACTAACCTGTAATCAGGGAAAAAAAAAAAAAGTGAAGCAGAATTGCCTTTTATAATAAAGCGTTCGCTTTTTCGCTTTTTCGCGCTTCGCTCACGTTCGCTTCGCTTGGGGTCCTCCAGGTGAGATAAGCTCACCTCGCCTCGCTTCTCGCCTAGGCGAGCTTTTCAAAACACTGACTATACTTGTTTGAATTGCAGTTCAAAGAGATGGGTGGAAGAAACAGGCCTCCTGAATCTTCTAAGATGGTTGAACAGCCTAATGAGAAGAAGAAAGGTCTCGGTGACTTGATGAACTTAATGAAGCCTGCCAATGAGGAAAAGGATCATTGGGTAATATTATTGTTTGTAGAATCTTCTTCTGTTTTGTAGATTTTTATAGTTACTCATAAGAACTAGAAAATAGAAGTGTTTATGAGGGTCTGAGACATTCTTTGTGACCTTGAGACTTGGTCAACTATGATTGTGGTGCATCAGTGTTATACTTGGATAATGTCTGTTTGAAGACCCTGCTAGGTTGCTTTGTAGTGTTTCTAGCAAATGTTTAGAGAGCTGTAGAAGTGAAAACTGGTCTCGTACTCTTTTTATGGTGTAACTTAACAGATCTGTTATGTTCTAGACTCGGCAAAACTGATTAGAAAGTTGTTTTGTCTCCTAAAATTGTAAGCCCAATTAAACTTTTGGAGTTCTGAAAGTTTTACGTTGTATTGTTGGATTTCTTAGTTGGTGTTTGGTTTCTGTTTCTTTTTCCTTAGGTTCCTGATGAAGCAGTTTCCAAGTGTACAGGTTGTGGGACAGACTTCAATGCTTTTGTGCGCAAGGCATGTCTCTCCTAAATTTATAAACTTATATTGTTTTGTTGCATGCTTTTTTGAGTGACAGGTTCTTGTTCAGTATTATTCTTCATTTTTCTTTTGGCTGGGTATCATGGACCTTAGGCTTTTGCTCCATTTCAGCATCATTGCAGGAATTGTGGAGATATATTCTGTGACAAGTGCACCCATGGCAGAATTGCTCTTACAACTGACGAGAATGCTCCGCAAGTTAGAGTTTGTGATCAATGCATGGTATACAATAACAGTTTGTGTACATCTTTCTTTGTTTTTTTGTACTTCTTAATTGTTTAGGATAAAATTCCATCTTTGTATTTTCTTTTCGTTTTTCAGTTGGTGCTTTGTGCTACTACATCTGCTAATGAATGGGTATTTTGTGGTTTGCGTCACATCATATGTGCATTTTGCCTGTGGAGATGCAATCTTGGGCAGAAATAATTTTCCTGGTCATCAGTAACTTTCTCTTATGGAAAAACTAACATGCCCCCTTGCACATGCGTACCCTCTCTCCCTTTTCTTTATAGAAACTGATTCTGATGAACTTGTTGGCACTATGAGTTGGAACTTAAATGAGGGTCGTAATTCACATGCATGATGCCATGGTGATGTTTAGACTGTATATTGTTGTTTTAGTTCTCTCTTGATTTTGTTGAACTTCAAATGATCTATTTGGTTGGTCAAGCAATGTGCCCTTCTTTGTGTTTGGTTTGCTTGCTTATTTTAAAGATCTTTAACTCTGGAGATTATGAGTATAACCGAGCAAGTAAACTGAAGTTGCTTCTAGTCATTCTCTTGACCACTTCTTGCCTTTACTCTATGCATGAGCATGCGCAAGGATGTTTGTACTAACATTTTCACCTCATACACATAGTAAGGGCCATATTTCATTTGTTATATTTATGTACAGGCAGAAGTTACTCAGCGGTTGAGCAATGCTAAAGAAGCTGCCAGCAGATTGGCTGGATTGCAGAGTCATGAGGATCTCGCCAAGAAGCTTCAGGTGGCTTATGTTTGAAATATTTTTCTGGCATTTTATTTTCTTCCTTTGTATTTCACGGTATGTTTTTGCCTTGTTTACCCGAGAGACTAATCCTCTCGAGTTAGACCCTTTTAATGAAAATATTGAGCATGTCTGCTTATGTAAAAAAAAAAATCTTTATGATTAGTTTTGGAGGCACCTAATATTTGGCGGATATTTTTTGCTTGGTAATTCTCTGTTTTTTGTAATCTGTCTTCTTCTTCTTCTTCTTCTTCTTATCCCTCCCCTTTTCTGTTTTTTGAAGCTTTCTTCTCTTCATCTTCTTATCCTTCCCTTTCCTTCATAAGGTGGGTTTCGGTATAATGGCTATGAATCACTGGTTTCTAATTAGTCATTTCTTTTTGCTTTTGTATAGTATGTTACCTCTAATTCTCACCTGAACAAGGGGTTGCTGGTCTGTCTTGGGCTGTCCTTCTATCTGGTGTTTCTTCTACTTTTGTCGGAATATGGAGAGAGGCACCAACTGAAGGTGTCTGAAGGACTTCAAGGACATACTTGTGGGTTCAACTGAAAAGGATTGTTTTAAACAAATGTTGATGCTAGAAAAACACATGCTTCTATGTGTGCCTTTTGTAAATTGTACTCAAACGTAAACCATAAGCCATCAGCTTAGTGCAAAAAGGTGCCTATGTGCTTTTAGTTTAAGTTGTGTGTATATACGTGATCCTGCAGCTAAGTTTGTCAGCTGAACTGGATCAAGTATTGTTGTCTGATGATATCAGATTATGTTTATTTCATCTATCTTTATAAGAAGAACTATTTTAATTTTCTTCACATTTTTTTAATTTTAAATGTTGTTTAAAGCTTTTGAGTATCACCCATTTTTTGGTTTTGAAATTATCTTCTCGTCATTTTTCACAGGAGGAGATGGAGAGAAATCGCAAGGCATCATCAGGTAAATGCTAGTGCCAAAATGTGTGTTATGTTCACTTGAAAGTACCATGTTGGCTGTGTTTTTGTGTTTTTTCCTACGTCATGAAAAGCTGGTTGACTCTGTCTTCACATGGTGCCTATGCATGGCCTTCTGGACACTTGTTTGCTTCTACTTTTTCGGGGGTGTCTATTTTCTGCGACTCTAATCAGAGCCTGGAATTAGTTGGTGTGATTCATCTTGTTTACTGTCAAGTTTTCACATTTGGTATTCAGCAGATTGACTCTAGGCTATCTGGTGGTTTTGATAGACATGTTATGTTGTGTACTGAGACTGATTAAAACAATTAGAACATGGGAATTAGTATGAACATATCGTGTTCGATTGCACCTGTATGGTTAAATTTACTGCTTTAACTCGAGGGTATCATACCTGAAGCTGGTTTTGGTAAACTGTTTCATCCTGTTTCAATGGTTATAGGCATGTTAGTTCTATCCTTGCATTAAAATATAGAAGCATTTCTGCTGTACTCTGTTTTACTGATTTACTTTGACAGGCTCCAAGTCTGAGGGATCTGGTAGGCAGATGAAAGAGGTTGCCTGTCCTACTTGTACAGTGCATTTGCAGGTTTGAAATCTCTGTCACCATTTAGGAATTCTTTTGAGTACAGATTTATTTTCTTCTCTAATATTGTCTTGGGCGTGTGACTAAATGGCGCAGGTTCAAGTTCCCAACTTCGGTTCTGAGACCATAGAGTGTGGGGTTTGCCAGAATCCATTCCTTGTAAGTGCCCATTGATGTGACCGTGAATGTTAAGGAGACAAGTGCCATTTGTTGAAATTCAATACATTAGCACCTGTGAGCCTTTTGTCATTTATAGAGTTTGGGTTGGTATGTGACCATCTCTTCTCTTTGATTTATCAATAACTTCTGTGGGCTGTCAGTTGGTTTTGCTTTGTCTATATGTATATGGAACTGTTTCTCATTCTAAGTCCACTGCATCTGCTGGTGGTGGTGATGCTTTATGTAAAAAATTGACAGCATGTGAATGTATGTAAAATATTCATTGGTATTTTGTCGGTTGATGTGTGTGTGTGTGTGTGTGGCTGTACCACCCCAACCCAAACCCTCATATGGTGCATGGTCAGTCTTCAAACATACGTGTGCATGTACTTCCACGAACAGGTGAGGTACATTCATACGGACACCGCATCTTTCTGTAGCAAGGGAAATGCATTTTGTGTAGCGTGCAAGATTTCTGTTGCCTACATATCATTCTCCTCTCATTGCTGAAACCGCACTGTCAGTCCCCAAATTTGTGCTTTGAAAAATGGAATCATACCAGATTCTTCAAGGCATGGAATTTATGTTGCCTAACGAAGCCTCGATGCATTGAGGGAGAACTGAAACTTGGTGGTCTTTGCTGTCCATTGATCATGTCATGCCACTTATTTTTACCGATTGTCCCTATCTGTTACTGCTTATGCTACCATTGAGACTAAATAGTACATAGCATTCAAGACTGACCAATTGCCACCTACCATGCCTTTACAATCTTCATCGAAGATAGTGTATTCAAGACTGACTAACTAATAGCAACTGGCAATATGGGTGGAAATAGTAGTTGGGTTTAATGGGGAGTGGGCGGTTGTTTCATTGTTTTGGAGGAATTTGAATATATGGCAAGCAATCACTGCTATGCACTACGACGCTTCAATAGGGCCTCCTTGTTCGGACTGCAATACTTTACCAATCCTTTTCACGTGGACTTTTCTTATCTTCTTTTCAATAGTCAACTCACAGTATGATCCATCCCCCCCACTGCCACTCCTCATAATGGAAGAACTAATGCAAATGCCTACCCTATGATAGGGGAACCACCAAATAAATAACAGCACCACATCCAGCACACAAATTTAATGAGGTTAGGAGAAATAGAATTCAACAGTTGTGAAAAAATTGTCATAAACCCCTCTTTTTGAGTGCGTCGATAAATTAAATTTTGTATAATATTATTAAAATCCAATAATCTGATTTATTGACATCACCTATTACACCATCATATGCGCCATAAAAGACACATGAAACAATCCTCCAACAATAATGTTACACACACCATATTTTTACACTATTTTTTTGACAACTCCTAATTGAAGAAAAGAGTTTAATAATACAACACATAGGCTTTTGACTATAAACAATTATCGTTCAAGTGCAACCGTTGTCACGAATACAGATAGGAGATGATGTTTTAAACAATACAAAACTATCACTTTGGTTACTTTAAAGACACATATTAGCAGATTCATTTAGATTGACAAACTTAACCTGTGCACTACCTCAACATAGACCGTTAGATTAGATATTCAATGACTCTGATTATGCCACATTAGATGACATAAGAGAAGTGGTGTCCAAAGCATTATTCATCCTCCAAAGGGATAATAAACAGCATGTGCATCTATAAGAAGAAACATGCATGACTGGCCAATTAAAGTGAACTACAACTACTTCTCTGACCCCCAGAAAATTAAAGAGCACATTTTTAAAGAGCACATGAATTTCTTCTTTCTTCACTTTCTCAAGCTATTAAGAATAGCTTTGCAGACATCAATGCAGTACCATTGTTTGACAGAGAACTGTTGTTCTTCCTCAATGTCTTTCTCCTGTGTCTTTTATTTTCTGCTTTTCTGCAGTGTCCGAGCAGCTGTGAAGCTGCCGGATAATGAAACAATTCCGGCAGTTGTTTTTTTTGGGGATTCCATTGTAGACACGGGCAACAACAACTATATTAAAACAGTAGTAAAGGTCAATTATCCTCCATATGGAAAGGATTTCATGGGAGGAAAACCTACGGGGAGGTTTTCTGATGGAAAAGTTCCCTCAGACTTGTTTGGTAGGAATGAAAAATCCTCTCTCTCTCTCTCTCTCTCTCTCACACACACACACACACGGTGCCAGGATCGTCTGCAGTATGGCAGAGTTACTGCTCCTCAAAACGCCATTGTTTTATATACAAAATGACAGATTTATTAGGAGTTTTGCTCGTAAAATGCATCGTTTTACGTGGAAAATGACATCGTTTTGGGGAATAAGTACGTTTGCGAATAATAGAGGAGCTTCACCCACTTGCTCACATCAAAGTAGTTGTAGCATAAAGGCCCCAAGTCGGGGGCATCTATAAAAGAAGTCTAGAGAGAGGAGATCCCACCACTCTTGAAACAATCTTAGATTGACTAGATCTACTGTCCGCCTCTTGTGACTCTTCTTACTTGGTCCTAAGTCAAAGGGTCGAGAAACTCAACTCAACACCACTATTCTTGACACAGCTCACAGGATTTATGCAAAGTCCTAATAAAATTCTATCGCTTTATCAATTTTTTCAGTAGAAGAATTGGGAATAAAAGGCCTTTTGCCACCATATCTTGACCCAACTCTGGAAATTGAAGATCTCATAACAGGGGTGAACTTTGCTTCAGGCGGTGCTGGATATGATCCTCTAACATCTGAGATTGTGGTACATTTTCTATTTCTACCCCCTACAAAATCTTTCTTTTTCTTCTAATTTTGAACTTCTCTTAAGCTTTAAGTTCTCATATTTTTCCTCATATATACAAATTTGACACTATTCATGATTCTCATTCAGTCAGTTTTATCGCTATCGGATCAGTTAGAATTGTTCAAAGAGTACATAATGAAGCTGAAGGTTGGGGTTGGAGAAGAGAGAACAGACAGCATTTTGAGTAAAAGCCTGCATATAGTTGTAGTAGGCAGCAATGATATTACAAACACTTATTTTAGTTCCCCTCTGCGAAGATCTCACTATGATGTTGCTTCATACACTGATCTTATGGTCAACTCAGCATCGACCTTCGTGCAGGTATATTATTATAGAAGCATAGTTGTTCTTACTTGTGCTATATAGTATATACTAAATGTAAATGGAAATGCGGACTATAAGCTGCATTCATCTGTCGCCAAATCCCATAGTGGCGAGAGTCTTGTGAATTGGAATCTCATTTCATTTGGGTCAGAAGGCGACAGATCAGCCTCACTCCCTGGCATTCACTCATCCTACCTATCCTTCAATCCTCAAATGCATGCACGATTTATATGCAACCTAATACGCTCTAATGCAATGCATTGATGAATTCTACTCACCTAGTCATTACCCGTGTCTGAAGGCACGATAGAACAAAAAATTTGAGTCTTAAAAAATCTATATCCTATATTAAATAATAATTTTTCTTTCATTTATTTATTTGATTAAATCATTCAAAATTTATTTTTACCCATTATTTTTTTAAAGATATTGACAAAATTTTTTCAAAATATGAAATTCGATAAATTTTTTTAACAAAATTATGTTAAATTATAAATTAATCAAATATTAAATGGTTGAGCATGTAATAGAAATGAGTGATTTTAAGGGGAAAATGCATAGCAGTATAGGAGACTTATGTGTTTTATATAACAATATAGGGGAAAATGTACAGCAATATAGGGGACTTACAATCTAGTTCCATGGCAGATTGGAGAGAGAGAGAGAGAGGGGCAGAGGGTTTAATTGGGGGTGGCGTGTGTTTGGGTTCAAAATGGGCGGGATTTTTTTTTTGGGTTGAGATGCATTGCAAGCCATTGGATTGAAATGGAAGAAATGAGATGAAAATGTGGGCCTTTGAATTAAAAGTGGATTTAATCTGAGCCGTTCTTATGCTTTTCCAAATAAATTAAATTTTAAAGTAGAAAAAGATTCAAAATGAGTCCTATCTTATTAGTAA